GTATGTAAACCTGAAAAACAAAGGAAATTTGTTAAGATGCAAATGTCTAGGTCAAAATGAAGGAATAAAATATTTGCAATGTTGTGCATGAAATTGTTAACCTTGTCTTAATTTCTCAGAAACAGCATTAACATAGTGTTCAAAGAGTGCATACTGTAGTCAGGCAGTGTAAGTTCAAAACCCAAATCTACCCCTTTTTAGTTGTATAACCTTGGTATGTAAGAATTATTGTTATTAGGTGCCATCAAGTCAGTCCAGATGCATAGTGACCCTGTGCACAATAAAATAAAACATTGCCCAGTCTGGTGTCAGCCTCACAATTGCTGCTCTGCTTGAGCCCACTGCTTCTGCTACTGTGCGTGTCCATCTCCTTGGGCTCTCCCTCTTTTTAACTGACCCTCCACCTTACCAGACAGAATATCCTTCTCCAGGGACTAATCCCTCCTGATACTATGTCTGAAGTATGAGAGACCAAGTGTGGCCATCCTGGCTTCTAAGAAGCATTCTGGTTGTACTTACAACACAGAATTTTTTATGCTACTGGAAGTCCATGGTGCTTTAACATTCTTCTACACCATAACTCAAATGCGTCAGTTCTTCTGCAGTATAACTTTCAGTGCCCAACTTGCACATGCATATGAGGCTATTGAAAATACTATGGCATGGGTCAGGTGCACCTTAGTCCTCAAAGTGACATTTTTTGCTCTTGAACACTTTAAAGAGTCTTATGCAGCGTATTCGCCTAATGCAGTACATCATTTGATTTCTTTACTGCTGTTTCCATGAGTGTTGATGGTTGCTCCTTTCATACTTCACACATATTATCAGGAGGAACCAGTCCCTGTAGAAGGATACTGTGTTTGGTAAAGTGGAGGGTTGAAGAAAAAGGAAAACCCCCAACGAGATGGATTGGCACAGTGGCAGCAGCATTGGGCTCAGGAGTAGCAGTGATTGTGAGTGTTTTGTTCTGTTGTGCATAGGGTTGCTATGAGTTGGTATTGACTGGATGGTACCTAACAGCAACAATCTTGAGTGGTGCTCCAGGATAATGCATTGGTTCTCAAGGTCAATTTGAACCCCAAGGATGCAGTTCAAACCCACCAGACGCTCCTTGGTGGAAACCCTATACAAGATCACTATGAGTTGGAACTGACTGGATCACACTTAAAGACATTGATCTTTATGGAAGCACATGGCCACATCTTTCTGGTGAGTTTGAACTGCTGATCTTGCAGTTCAAACCGACCTTTCGGTTGAGTGCTTACAACTTAGGAAACTGTCTGGGGAAGTTCTAGAGTCTCTCTGAGTCAGAATGATCAGATGGCACACAACCACAACTTACAGAGTATTTTGAGGGGGTTCTATTGTTACCTTCTCAGCTACTCATTTTCCCTTCTCAACTATAGTTGTTGTTGTTGTTATGTGTCGTGGAGTCTGTTCCGACTCATAGCGACCCTGTACAGGGTTTCCGAGGCTGTTAATCTTTACGGGAGCAGAACGCCTCATCTTTCTCCGCGGAACAGCTGGTAGTTTCAAACTGCTGACCTTGCAGATCGCAGCCCGATTTGTAACCACTACGCTACCAGAGCTCCCTTCTCAACTATAGTACACCTCTGTTTAAAGTATATTGATGGTGGTCTTTTTGATTGCGCTGTATAGCTTCACGGAGTCCTGGTGTGGTGCTGTGGGTTAACGTGCCGGACTGCAAAGTCAGTTTGAGCCGCAGGTCAGTGGTTCAAGCTCACCAGCTGCTCCTTGGAATCCCTGTATAGGGTAGCTATGGGTCGGAACTGACTTAACGACACTTAACAACAACAATATAGATTTATGGGCTCCTGGTGCAGTGCTGTAGGATCAGCACTGGACTTCAAACTACACATCAGCAGTTCAAACACACCAGATGCTCCTTGGAAACCCTGTACAGGGTCACTATGAGTCAGATCCAACTCAGTGGCACTTAATACATTTACTTTTTTTTTTTATTGTGGTGAAACATAATAAGACACATTTGCTGTGTTAACAGATTAACATTCATTTGCACAATAAAATCAAGTAGAATTAGAATTAATTTGAGTGGGTGGGGGGAATGCTTTCAAATACTTTCTTTTTCTAGGACTCACTGCTTGTGATTTGAGGTTGGCCAGGAGCTCTGGTAGCGTAGTGGTTACGAATCGGGCTGTGAACCATAAGGTCAGCGGTTCGAAACTACCAGACGCTCTGCGGGAGAAAGATGAGGCTTTCTACTCCCGTAAGGATTTACACCCTCGGAAACCCTGTACAGGGTCGCTATGGGTCAGAACCGACTCGATGGCACTTAACAACAACAGGATCGGCCAGTGTTTTGTTCTGCTGTGTGTAAGGTTGCTATGAGTAGGTACCAACTAGATGGCACCTAAGAACAATAATAAGACTGTTACGTCTAGACCCTTTTTAGTGAGCTGACCACTCTCCCAGTGAGTGCAAACAAGATTCTGCAGGGTCAACTTCCATTTCTAGCCTGCGACCCTAGCTTGTGACTGGAACTGAAAGACAGTGATCTTTGCTTCATTGCTGATGACTGTTGAGGCATGTTTCTGTACCAATTCCTTTCAGGTTATTTTTTGTTGCGTGATACTTTTAAGTGTTGTTTGGGCACTCAGCTGTTGAAGAACATAGGATATGGCTTTATTACAGCTTGTGGTAAATGTAGACTGTCTTTGAGACACAATATTAACTTAGAATGGGCATCTTAACGGTGAAGCATCAAATATTGAAGCTGGACTTAATTTTAGGATAACCTTAGAATAGTATAAATTTGGTTACATTGTTTATGTAAAAAAGTATGTTGTGCCTTAAATTGGGCCAGCCAGTTATTTAAGTTGAGCTATATTGCTGTGGTAAGGAGCTCTGGTAGCATAGTGGTTACGAATCAGACTGCGAACCGCAAGGTCAGCAGTTCGAAATTACCAGCTGTTCCGTGGGAGAAAGATGAGGCTTTCTGCTCCTGTAAAAATTTACAGACTTGGAAACCCTGTGCAGGCTCACTATGAGTCGGAACCGACTCCACAGCACAGCACAGCCACAGCCATACTGGTGTGGTGCTGTGGGTTAATGGCCATGACTTAGTTACTTCAAGGTCGGTTTGACCTGCAAGGTGTGGTTTCAGCTCACCAGCAGCTCCTTGGAAACCCTTTACAGGGTCGCTATGGGTCAGAATTGAGTTGTCGGCACTTAACAACAACAACAAATGTGTAAATTTATTTATTTACTTTTTAAATTTGTTTGTATTTATTTTTGTGTTCATGCACAACAGGGTAAAATGGTCCTATAAAGACTTGAAGGCTGAAAAGGAGTTATAAAGTGATTTTGCAATCCCTGGAAATTAACAGGATAGGTTTTCTCCTGCTTCAGATTAAGTTTAAACTTTCCATAGTTATTGTTCCCTCTGGAATTACACATTTCATATCATAATTCATAAACATTGTAACTTCAGCTATACTTCCCTCTTTTAAACATGACAGGGATGGTGTCAGTTGTTAACTACATGATTAGAAAGTTATGTGTGGTTATGCTTAAAATAGCACATCTTCACATCCATGGAAATTCTCTAGATCTTTCTATGGCCTACTTCGAGAAGCACCTGTGTCCATTAGCCCCCTGCCGTCTAGTTCAGTGCCAGTGCTGTTGAGTTGGTTCCCACTCACAAAGACCCTGTATAGGTTTCCCTAGGAGGGGCTGGTGTGTTTGATCCACCAACCTTGTGATTCACTACTTATCTTACAGCGCTACACCAGGATTCCAGCCACCCTTGGATATATACCAATTATAGAGGGATTACTGGGTCATAAGCCATTTCCATTTCTAACTTCCTGAGCAAGTGCCAGTGGTTAAACCTTTTTACAGCCCCACCAGCAATGCAGAGGGTCCCAGTCAACTGTACTATCTATTTCTAAAGTCTTAGTGTTGTTTTTCTGGCATTCTAACTTCTGATTTTATATGGTTCTTCTCCCCCTTTCCCCCAGTTATTAACTTTGTCAATTTGTTTCCCGATTTTTTCCCCCGTAGTTTTGCCTATGTTTTCCTTGATTTCATCTGTACTTTTCTGGATCCTTCTCTCAATTCGTTCAAGTTGCCTAATGAGCATTCTTTAAAATTCTTTATCGGGTAGTTCCAGCATGATATCATCTCTGGTGTTGTGTTTTATGACTGTCTATTGGTCACTTGGTGGAGACACTGTGTCTTGTTTCTTTGTGTAAGCTGAAGTTGTTTCCCCCGGACATTGTGGTGTCGTATTTATACCTAGCAGAAGGTTGTAGATTGGTGTGTTCTCAGGCGCTCACCACCCACCTGCCTCCTAGTGGATGTGGGGAGAGACCGGAAGAGTGAACGTAGATCTTTCTCAGTCCCTTTTTGGTGTAGCCTAGAAGCAGCATCGCTATGCCAGGTGCCCGATTCCAGGCAGAGCAGAGGCTGCGCAGGAGGAGGTTGCTGGATTGGCAAAGGCGGGAAGCGGCTGCTTCCCAGCCCCAGCCGACTAGGAAGGCATGGGAACAGGAAAGAACTACACCATTTTGCTGCCTAACTCCAGCCGTGACCTGGGCCCACAGACTCCTTTGTCGACAGCACCCAAAGAAAGCTCAAGATGGCCGCGCCGCTCCACGCCAGCCCACAGTCAGCTTGGTTTTTGCCTCTCTCTCACTGCTCCTTCCAGCTTCCTCTTGCATATCGCACTCAGTCTCCGTCTCTGTCCTATTCTCTGGTGCTCAGGGCTTGAGAACCAACACCTGCATCTGTTTCACTCTGCCCTCCTTGTCTCTGCTGCACGGGGTCCGCTCAGTGGGTCTGCAGACTCCGCCATCTTGCTTTGGGATTTTCTGTTTTATTATTCAGTAAAAGATGCAAGTTTCAGGCCTGTTTATCTAAGATGCTTTTACTTATTCCTTAAATGTACCCAGGTTTATTTTTTGACTGACTTAACCTGTGTTTTTTTGTTTTGTTTTGTTTCTCAAACTTAGAGCTGCCAAATGCTATTAAATCAGCTGAGGGAGATCACTGGTGTTCAGGACCCTTCCTTCCTTCACGAAGCTTTGAAGGTTAGTTTCAAGAGCCTAAGTTGTATCTTCAACTTAAGCAAAGGGCAAGGGCAAGTGTGCGGGCAAGCAAGAGGAAACATGCGATGGGTGAACGGATCACTTAAGAGACTGAAGAGACATACAGCCAGTTGCAATTTACAGATTTCTATGGATCCTGATTCAAACCAACAAACTTGAGAATATTTGAATTGGGGGAAGTTTGAACTAGTTATTTTATATTTTAAAAGCTACATTACTCTTGTTAAGTGCTGTTGAGTCGGTTCCGACTTGTATCGAGCCTAAATAGTGTTTCCACCTGGTGAGTTTGAGCCGCCGACCGCGTGGTTAACAGTCCAGTGCTGATCCTGCAGTGAGTGCTCTATCAGGGCTCTTAAGGTCTGATCATAGCACTGTGGGTTATAATTTTAAAAATTACATTCTGAAATGTTGACAGACGAAATGATAAAACGCTGAGGATTTGGTTCAGAATTAATCTGGGAAGAAGGTTGGCAGTAGAGATGAAAATGATTGGGCATGATTTGATCGTTGATGAAACTGAGTTGTGGATATCTGCTGCTGCTGGATCCCTTTGACTTCAGTTGTAATCCTTTGTAGGGTTTCCGAGGCTGTAAATCTTGGTGGGAGTGGAAAGTTCCCTCTTTCTCTCCAGGAGCGTCTGGTGGTTTTGAACACTGACCTCGCGGGTTAGCAGCCTGCTGTGTAACCTGCTACACTGCCAAGGCTCCTTCTTGGCTACACTCTGTTACACATTTTCTTGTACATACACACTTGTATAGGTTTGAGATTTCTTATACTAAAAGGCTAAAAAAAAAAATCAAAGGGTGGTCATGAGTGTAGAAATATGGTAATTAGTTACACTTGTATTATATTAAGTAGCTGATTTCATTTAGAATCTCTGTGTTCACTAGTTCCCATTATTTTTACATACTAAATTTTAGTTACTCTGAAATAGTATTCAGAAGCAATAAGAACGAAATCTCAAGCAAAATTTATTTCTCGTTTGTTTGTTGTGAAAGATTAGCACCCTCCCTGCAAATAGGTGCTAGATAGAAGTGTATATATGCTTCAAGCGTACTTTACTATATTACATTTACTTTCTTAACATGAGAAAAAAAGCTTATTTTCTAACTTCTATCTAAAAATTATGCCAAGACTTATTACTCAGTATGTCACCAGGGTAGTAAGGGATCTTAACCAACAAACTTTTAACTTTAATACTCATTTTGATCTTTGTGATGGTTAACTTTGGGAATTTCTGTTTTTTGCCCTCTTAGGCCAGTAATGGTGACATCACTCAGGCCGTCAGTCTTCTCACAGATGAAAGAGTTAAGGAGCCCAGCCAAGATCGTGTTGCAACAGAACCAGCGGAAGTAGGCGGGAGTGCTGCCAATAAAGAAGTGTTAGCAAGTAGGTATATCTTGTCTTGTTCCTGCTCTGAAGTAGCAGGAAATAAGAGATGGGTATAGGTGAATTTGGAGTCTTGGTGTGGCGCTGTGGGTTGGTGCACTGGACTGCACAGTCAGTTAGAGCCACAAGGTCGGCGGTTCAAGCTCACCAGCCTCTCCTTGGAAACCCTATACAGGGTCGCTATGGGTCCGAACTGACTCCACGGCACTTAACAATAAATATGTGAAATTGTGAATTCCCTATCAAGCACATTAACCTTTTGAAAATAGTAATTATGGTTAATTATTGGGTCAGACACAGTTCTAAGCACTTAAATCTTCTTTGCTATAACAACTATATAATGAGCACTTACTACAGGCTGTTCCATGGGAGAAAGATGAGGTTTTCTGCTCCTGTAAAGATTTATAGCCTTGGAAACCCTGTACATGGTTGCTATGATTCGGAAACAACTCTACGGCTCTTAACAACAACAACTATATGCCAAACACACTTATGCACTGCAGATAGAGTAATAATAAGCAAAAGATACAAAAATCCCTGCCTTTCGTTTAGCTTATTACTTCAGCAGGGAGAGATCAGCAAGTAAATAAGTAAACTACATAGCATATTGTTGTTAAGTGTCTTCAAGTTGGTTCCGACTGACAGTGACCCTATATAGGGTTTCCAAGGAGTGGCTGGTGAATTTGAACAGCTGACCTTGTGGCTCAAACTGAACTGACTTTGCAGTCCAGTGCACTAACCCACAATGCCACACCAGGACTCCAAATTCACATATACGCAAATAAAAGGGGGTCTGGGAACTGGATATTGAAGAGGATGGATCTTTTGAGAAGGTGTGAAGGAGGTGAGGGACTAAGTCACATGAATCTCTAATGTGGGTGCTAGATTGGCTTGATTAATGAGTAGCAGGAGGCCAGAGCTGAGGTTTTGTGGGTGAGGAGAGCAGTAAGATCAGGCATAGAGGACACAGGAGATGGGTCCGTTTGAGCCTTTGTAAGTGCTTAGTTTTTAACTCCAAGTCATCCTTTGTTGCAAAGGAATGAGGTAATCCGGTTTCAAATTTCTAAAGATTACTCTGATAACAGAATGTGGAATGCGGGGCTGCAAGAAGTATGGGTCTGAGCAAGAAGCCCAGGACCAGTCAGAAGGTTATTGCTTCTGACAAGATGGTTGGGCCAATTTGTAGTGTTGAAGAGTTGCGAATTTTAGCTGGATTGTGGGTATTTTTCAGAGGCAGCCAGTAGGCTTACAGAAGATGTGAGGATTATGGAGACTGGAGTTGCAAGGTAACTCCGGGTTTTTAGACCTCGGAGCTCCTTTACTAAATATGCGATACTCCCAATTTAGAGGGCTGGGGAGGTGAAGATTGTCTTAGGAGATTGGAAGAAAATAGTGATGCTCTGGAAGCCAATGGAGAAGAATTAAGAAGCCCAAAGTTAAGAAGTCCTTATGCTGGTACATATGATGTTAATGAACACTTGAACCCTTTGTAGTTTTTCGCTATTCTGATTAATGCTGCTTTGCAGATTCTTACAGTATATTCTGCTACTACTTGTGATTTTTTTCAATCAGCAGTTTTCTTTTTGAGATGCATCCATGTTGATGGTTTTACCTGTAGTTAATTCATCTACCCTGGTGTGTAGTATTTCCATGGTATGAATAAACCACAATTGTCTACTCATTGACTGGCTTTGGAGTTGTTTACAGTTTATTTTACTATTATAAAGAGAGGTTTTTGTGAGCTGTCTTTTTTTTGGGGGGGCGGGGCGGGAATCCTGTTTCTTATGCATGTATGGAAGTTTGTTACACATTTGTATCTAGCAATGCAATGTTATTTATTATCTTCCGAAAGTATCTATTTATACTCCCTGTGGCAGGGTTTGGGAGTAACCATTGCTCTGAAACTTTCACTTATAGCCATTCGTGGTTCTTCTATGAAATTTCTCTCTGTGGCTTCTACTGATTTTTCTGTTTAATTGTCGGTTTCTTGTTGATTGGTAGGGATACCTTTTATGTTCTTGTTATTAATCCCTTTTTTAGATTTTTGTGTTGCATATATCTTCTGCCTGGCAGTGACTTGACTTGACTTTTTACACTCTGGTGATGAAGAATTAAATGCAGTTGCATTTATGTCTTTTTTTGTTGCTGTTAATTTTTCGTTGTTGTTGAAAAGAACTCCTATACCCTGAAGTAGTAGTTGTTGTAAATGCTATCTAGTTGTTTCTGACTTAGAGGGTTTCCAAGGAGCAGCTGGTGAGTTTGAACTGCCGACCTTGTGATTCACAATCCAAGGGTGATCCTACAGCACCACACCAAGAGTCCAGCCTGAAGTTATAAGGATTTTTGTTTCATTTTATAATAGTAATATTTTGTTTCACAGTTTGGTCTTTAATTCATCTGGAATTGATTTTGGAGAACCGGGTGTAATGACATAAAGTAGGTACAGTTAGATTTTTTTTCCAGGCGGTATTGCAGGATAAGCAATGGACTGTTAACTGCAAGGTTGTCCATTAAACCCAGCAGATTGCTCCTTGGAAACCTTCCAGAGTCACTTTAAGTTTGGAACTGACTTGATGACACTTAGCAACAACAACAGCAGCAGTAAAACCCAATTGTCCCAGTACCTTTTATTGAAGTGCTGTTCCTGCCCGCTGATCTATATCAGCTCTGCTCCACCAGATTTCCACAGGTTCCTCCCTATTTCATGACAATATATATACTCTCATTATAACTCTGTGATAATCTTTGCTGCCACCTTGTCCATCTTCATGGGTACCTCAGTTGTTTCTGCCTTTCTGCTCTACTGTGTCAGTGGCTATATGTAGTTTCTGTTGGAGCTGCATGCGGATTGAATTAAATCTAGAGGAGCCTTGCTGGAGCCGTGATGGGAAGGTCAGCGATTCAAATCCATCATCCTCTCCACAGGATAAAGATGAGGCAGTCAGCTTCTGTAAAGATGATAGCCTGGGAAACCTAATGGGACAGTTCTACTCTTTTCCTACAGGGTCACTAGGAGTCAGGAGTCAGAATTGAATGGATGGCAGTGGGTATAAAATCTAGAAATAAATTTGGGAAGATTTAGCAGCTTTATAAAAGTTTTCCTAGCCATTTCTTTGTGTTGTACGTATTTATTCTAGATTGTTGTTGTGTATTGTCAAGTTGATTCTGACTCTTTGTGACTCTGTACAGGGTTTTTAAGGAGTGACCTGGTGGGTTTGAACCTCCAACCTTGTGATTAGCAGTCTGTTGCGTATCCTGTAACACCAAACCAGGACTTGTCACAATTTTGTTGTTGTTACTGCTGTCAAGTTGGTTCCGGCTCCGGAGGAGCAGCTGTCGAATTTGAACTGCCAGTCTTATAGTTTGAATTCTGGTGCTGATCCTACAGTGCCACACCAGGAGTTCCTCACAGTTTGTTGTTGTTAGGTGCTATCGAGTAGTACCGACTCATAGCGACCTTATGCACAACAGAACAAAACACTGCCTGATCCTGGGCCAACCTCACAATTGTCACGCTTGAGTCCATCTATGCTGCCACTTGGCCAATCCATCTCCTTGGGGCTCTTCCTCTTTTTCTCTGACCCTCCATCTTACCAAACATGATATCCCTCTCCAGTTACTGTTCCCTCCTGACAATATGTCCGAAGCATGAAGACGAAGTTTGGCCATCTTGGCCTCCAAGGAGCACTCTGGCTGCACTTCTTCCAACACAGATCTGTTGTTTTTTTTTGGCAGCCCATGGTACTTCAATATTCTCCTCCAATACCATAACTCAAAAGCATCAATTCTTCTGTGATCTTCCTTATTTACTGTTCAGCTTTTGCATGTATATGAGGTTATTGAAAATACCATGGCTTGGGTCAGACGCACCTTAGTCCTCAAGCTGACATCTTTGCTTTTCAACACTTTAAAAAGGTCTTGTGCAGTCGATTTGCCTAACGTAGTACGTCGTTAGATTTCTTGCCTGCTGCTTCCATGAGTGTTGATGGTTGATCAAAGAAAATTAAGTCCTTGACAGCTTCGATATTTTCTCCATTGATAAGAATGTTGTTTATTGGTCCAGTGGTGAGGATTTTTGTTTACTTTACACTGAGATGCAATCCCTACTAAAGGTTGTGGTCTTTGATCTTCATCAGTAAGTATTTCAAGTCTTCTTCACTTTCAACAAGCAAGGTTGTATCATCATCACAGTTTAGGAGACTACAAATCCAAATTTTCGATGATAATCACCTAGTGGACACAGAATGTCACTTTGTTCCAATTCTCATCATGCTGTTTGACTACTTAAGATGGTATCTGCCTTATCAGTCAAGATGCCTTTTTTGCTTATCGATTTGTGAACACTATCTTGGTTTTGATTTTAAAACCACTTTATTGAGGTCTAATTTACATACGGTACAATGTAACCGTTGAAAGTATACAATTCAGTGGTTTTTAGTTTATTCTCTAAGTTAGGCAGCCAGTAGCACGATCCAAATTTGAACAGTTTCATTACTCTGAAAGAAAACTCTGAACCCTTCACAGTCATTCCCAATTTGTAGTGGGCACCCAGCCCCACGGATCCCAGCCTAGGTGACCACTAATCTACCCTCCAGATTTGTATTTTGGACAACTGGACCCTATAGGAGGTGTTCTTTTATGACTGGTTTCATGCAGTACGCTCCTTTCAGTGTTCATCCCTGTTGTTAGCCACAGGTATCAGTACTAGTACGCCTTCCTTTTTATTGTCAGACAGTCTTCCATTTTGGGGGTTATAGTAAGTGCCATCAAGTCAGTTCCAACACATAGTGACCCTGTATAAGGTTTCCAAGGAGAGACTGATGAGTTTGAACCGATGACCTTGTGGTTCAAACCCACCTTGTGGTCCAGTAGGAGGATATGCTGTATTTTGCTTATCCTAAGCACTCTACCATAAGTTGCTCTGGTAGTGTAGTGGTTACGAATCGGGCTGTGAACCTCAGGGTCAGCAGTTCGAAACTACCAGCTGTTCTGCAGGAGAA